CTGTCTCTTATACACATCTAGATGTGTATAAGAGACAGGGAGGAGGAGGAGGAGGAGGAGGGTTTTCGTCGAGCGGGGTGATTATTGGGTCGCCCGATCGTGGGGGAGGAGGGGGTAGAGCCGAATCGTGTTTGAAATCATGAGGTGGGGCGGTGGCGGGGGACAAAGAGGGGGGAGGGCCGTCGCGTGATTTTTGTAGGACAGGCAAAGGGATCATAACAAAAGCTTCAAGACATGAGCGCGACGATGTCACGCTCCCCTAGAGAAGCAAGGCAGGAGCAAGTTACCGCGCTCACACAACCTTTTTAGCAAGGCATCTGATCATGCCCTACACTGTCATCCTTCGATTCCTGTTCTTCCAAGCTTTTCACCACGTACTAAAAAGAACTCTCCCGGTCTCAGTAGCACCATATCGCCACCAGCAACACCGACAGCCGACAACAGCAACCATTCAGAACAACAGTGACGGCCTCGCCAGCAACAACACAAAAAAATAACAAACAACAGCAAAAGCAGCAGCAGCAGCAGCAGCAGCAGCAGCAGCAGCAGCAGCAACAACAATAACTCTCACCTGGTCCAGGAGCGCGATGACATTCCTGTGCGCCACCGCTCTCAGCACCTGCACCTCCCGGTGAGCGGCCTCGGTAGAGTCTCGCTCTTGGCACAGCATCCGCTTCAGGGCCATATGTTCTCGTGTGCGAGCGTCGCGGACCAGGTAGACCGTGCTGAACCCTGCTTGTTGTGTTGTTGTTGTTGTTGTTGTTGTTGTTGTTGTTGTTGTTGTTGTTGTTGTTGTTGTTGTTGTTGTTGTTGTTGTTGTTGTGGTTGCTGCTACTACTGCTGCTGCTGCTGCTATCGTTGGTGTTCGTATTCTCTCTTGTGCAAGCGGTATCTGTTCGTCGCTATTATGAATATTTTTTTGTCGCGGGTGCAATGCAGCCTCCCTCTCGTCTCCAGGACCAGCGGTCACCGCCGATCGCAGGAAACCTGCTCCATGCTACCCAAAAAGCGGAACCCAAGCCGGCAAGGAAGAGCAGAAGTACCCAAGGAGGTGACAAAGAGGAGACCAGCCCCGCCCGTCAGGACCAGTCTTCTCGTTTTGGGAAGACCATCTTGAGTATGCTGCAGCATACAAAACGTCCCGTGCTCTCCGTCACCTTACTCCCTTCAACCATCTCCCCAACCCCCCTCTCTAACAGAGCTTCGCCACAATGCGTCCCCTGCCCCCTCTACAAAGTCGCTGCCGAGTCGGCCAGCCACGACAAATCATCTATCCTCATCAACCTCGAACTTGCATTATTTCACCTTCATACATATACAACCTGGCTTCTCCAACAACGCCAACAGGTTTCACATCCATCCATGCACGTTGACCCCTACATTGCATTCTTCATGTACGTGCAACCCGACCCTTCTCCAAAAACGATTACAGGGTTTGCTCCATCCATTCACGCTCACCTCGATACTGCACCACTCTTCATGTTCATGAATAACCTGGCCTCTTCTCCGGTAACGATACGTAACAGGCTTCACATCCATCCGTTCACGTTCATCCCGATATATCTTTGTCCTTCATCTACTTGCAACCCGGCCTCTCCCTCCACAACGAGTAAGCGTTTCACATCCAGCAACGTATCGATACCCTGCTCTCTTCATCATTGCACACACAACCTTACCGCTTCCCCCACAAACGCCATGCGACAGGCTTCCACGTGGACCTCTCACCTCCCTCTGCCATCTCTCTCACGATCTGCACCTTGTACACCCCGACCGTCATCTCCTGGTGCGTCAGGTACTCCGCCGTCCGCTGAACAGCCCCGCTCACCAGCCCGAACAACCCCTTGGTTGCCTTCCCGGCGTTCTTCTTCAGATCCTTCACCACGTTGCCGCCGCCGCCGCCGCCGCCGCCCCCGCCCCCGCCCGCGGACTGCCTCGTCGGGGAGCAATGCGAGGTGGTGGTCGTTCCAAGTGAGGAGATGTTGGAAGTGAAGTACAGCGGGGGGGCCGGTTTAGCGACCCTTAGTGTCACGACGAAATGTGGCCGTTATTCAGGGCAGGTTGCTGAGCGGGAATGACAACTATATGGCAGCTATACTGACGGGGTGCGGCGGTGGCACATGATTTTGTGGACGCTTAACAGAGCATGTCGCTAAACAGTGGGTTGTGGGTTATGGACCTCGAAAATCGTACACGGAACGTCGAAAATGATATTAGAACGGCCGCCCCCCGCGCGCTGCTGCCTTGTTATGGGTCAAGAGCTGCGAGGGTGGAGACGAAACTGAGCGTGAGGAAGGGAAGCAAGAGGAATCTCGAACGTCAGAGTACGTAAGGGGGTTGTATCGTTGGTGTAGAAGTAGGGTCTCGGACAACACGAATGCGCGCTCCGAGCTTGATTCGGGTTTTTCTCGAGCCTTGCATTGGACACGCTGGATGCACACGGTAGTTTCGGAAATTTTGAAAGCGAATCATACCTAATTCTGCAACAAACAAGCCCGCAGTCCGGGTTAAAATCGAAGTTTGTGAGAGTGCGACAACGCTGGAATCAACGCTGCGAATCGAACGGCAACAGACAGGCACAAGAACACGAGCTCCCGTTCGCCATGTATCTAATAACCCGATTCTTCATCCCTCTAAAAAAACAAAACTGAGGGTCTCTCACTTGCTTCCGATGGTACTGCTGCTGCTGCGCCCCTTTCCCAGGCCCGGTCCACACCCCGCTAGCACTAACCGGAAGCATCTTCCCCGTGCCTCCGGAGGCGTACCCGGGGGGGCACGCGAGCCGGAACACCCTGCATGCACGAACAACGAAACGAAAGGGCGGCAAGTCTTGCTCCTCACGGCCAAGAACAGGCGGGGTCATCAATGCGAACTTGCAGAGAGTCGCAGATCGATGTGATACGGCATCTCGCCCTTTGTACTGCGTGGGACGGCGCGTGGGCGTCCTTGATTCGACATGCCGGGTCGCGGCCCGCTCAGAGCTCGGTACGACAATGGTTGCGGCCTTCTGCAGGAAACAAGGCGTTGAGAGGGAAGCATATTGCTTAGATCACGCCTTAGGATGGCGGAAACGTCATAGCTGAACAGCCACGCACGCGCGGAGTACAATAAGCAAGCGGCTGGCTAGAGCCGTGGAACACCCGGGAATTTTTTCTATCTTTCTCTCAGTGTGTGTGGTGTGGAGATGGCCATCAAAGATGGTCACATATCCCCAACGTCTGTCGAGAACCATTCCCTCTTGTCGCCGAGGGGGGTAAATTGAGCGGTCCGGAGAGACAAAACATTTATGAATACAACCGATATCCTACAAGATGTTTCGGTTCGAAAACACCAATTGTCTGGCCACGACGAACGCGGTGGTAGAGATGCGGAGCAGATGATTCGAAAAGTTCAACTTTTTGTCTACTAAACCGCCGGTGGGTGCTCTCCCCAAAAGTACGTGGCATTAGTGGCAGCGTGATGGCTTGTGTCACTTCTTGACCTTGCTTTCGTGCCAAGGTGTGGGCTCGAATGCACAGCCTTCCAAAAGGATCACATGTACCTCTGTCTCAAGTGCGTCATTCTCTTGACATGCCTGCAGGCGGGTGCAACAGCTAAGGGAATCGCGACGAACGCAAACGTACGACACGATAAACATACCAACCCTCCGATGATCTAGGAGTAGGATATAACACATGCAGGAGAAAAATAAGACGAGCGAAGGCACACAAACCTACCTGCACGTGATGATGTTTTCCCCCGCGAAAGGCACCGGCGATCCCAGGTCTAGGTCCCGCACGCTCTCGAAGATGCCGTCCGGCCGGAGGACGTCGAGGTGATACGACGGGCCCAGCGGAAACGCCCCCACGAGATCCGACACGGTCGCTACGGTTTTGCCTTGGGGCTACATAATAACCAGCAGAATTGAAACAGAGGGCGCGCGGGGGGGGGGGGGG